ATTTTCTCATACATAAATTAAACCAATCATCACATTTATCATCAATCAACTCATTACCAAACAATGTCAACCAATCCACAAGTTCCCTAGCATGATTCTAGGTTTTTTCCAAGTCCCTAAACATGCTCCTAAAATCAAGTTTCTCGTATTCTTATACGTACCTTAATTAAATCATCTTTCCAACTAGCCACAATGCTAGAAATTACTTAACTTAAAGTCTCCTACAATACCAAATACATAAACTCAATTACTTCCTTGATTACACAAATTTCTAGCAACTTTTAAACACTTTAAACCTTCTCTAATAAGCTGAAATTTTGGTTTAAAACCTTTAAAACTCTTTCTTTAAGTGGGTAATTAAAACCACAAAGTAAAAACTCATTCATGGTATTTATATAAAAATTCCAGCACACTTTTTAAAATTTAAACCCCCACAAATAAATCTGAAAATTATTTTTAGAACATTAAACCCTCGTCAAAAATCAAAAACTATCCGAAAACCCTATTTAGAGGCTGATTTTGGCCACGAGAGGGTGGTGCTCACTACCTTTTTAGAACGTTGTTTACACACGAATAACACTTTTTTTTTGTAAAAATCGGACAAGTTATAATCTCAGCGTGATTAAAACGGGATTAAAAATAATTAAGAACGGAGATCGGAATTTGATTACCTAAAATTCGTTTTTATGTTTAATAAATCTTTATAAATTCAATAGGAATGAAATCCCTAATTTAATTGATTATTAGTACCCTAAAAATCAACACTTTAATAGTTAAAACCCTAACTTTTAATACTTTATAAAAATCATAATTTAAAACACTTTACAATATGAAATCTATAATCTTTAATCATTAAAACACAATTATAAAACATACTAATCACGTTTCAATAATTAAAATCTAAAATCCATAGTATATAATTATAGGAATAATAATTAAAACAAGAGGGGAGATAAGGGTGGCTCACGGTGGGGTGGTTGTCGGCGATTTTTGGGCGGCCGGAGGTGGCTCGCCGACGGGATGTTGGAGGCAGCAGCAAGGTGGTGCAAGGTGGCGTGAGGTGGGGGTTGGTTTCTCCCAAAACCCTCAAGTACAGCATCATATAAAAAAAAAAGAAAAGGAAAGAATAAGAAAAGAAGGAAAAGAAAAGAAAATAAAATTAAAGGAAAAGAAAAGAAAATATTACTTACCCCAAAATCTGATTTTTGATCTCTTGTGTGGGAAAATTTTGGGGTATTGAGAGGTATTTATAGAGTAGGAAATAAAGACTAGGGTTGGGCTTAAAAAAAAATAGGCTTTAGTTATGAAATATTTGACCCACAAAGGTTCAAATAAAAGAATTGGGCTTACTTAAATGAAATGGGTTGGTCCACAAGGAGTATGTAAGGATTGTTTACATACTATTATTTAAACGAGCTCAAACGATTAATAAACGTTTAGCCCAAAATAAATTATACTTTTATAAAACTCAATAATTTAAATACTTTAGCCCTTTAAAAATTTAATTAAAATACTTGAGTACTTTAAAAATATATTTTATAATTAATTAAATAATTTATAAAATACATAAAAAATACGGAGTATTACATCTTGAGGTTTGTGCTCTTGTTCGACGTAATCTGGATGAGAATGGTGCCTTTTCCGATGACACCGCCGACTGTTGCAGAGGGACAGAGGAGTCGGAATTGGGTTTCGCCGCCATTTTCGGAGGGTATGAGTTGTTGAGAAGGTGGAGTAGAAGAATAAGATGATAATGGTGGGTTAGAGAGAGAATGAGAATGGTGGCGTTTGAGAGAGAATTGAGGTTCCATTGTTGAAGAAGGAGTTTTGGTGGCCGGAAAAAGGAGGAAAAGATGTGAGGGTGGTGGTGGTGGTTTCGTAGGGTTGGTTGTGGTGGTTTCGTGGGGGTGGTAGTGGTGGTGGTGAAGCCGACGGTGGTTTTGGTGAAGGCGGCGGTAGTGGTGGTGGCTGGTCTTGGTGGTGGTGGCTGGTCTTGGTGGTGGTGGCTGGTTTGATTAATTAACCAAACATTCTCTCTCCACCTTAATTACATACTCCTATAATATATTAATCACCATTATACTTTTTTAATCTTTACCCTTCAATCTTTTACTTCGTGAACCGTGAATTGCCCCAAAGTTGCACATAAAAAAAAAACGAAGATAGTATTATTTTGTATAAAAGGATATAGTTTTGTATTTTTCTGTGAATATCTTTTGAGGTTTCCTAACGTGATTAGAACTCATCGTTGTAACTCTATAATATGAATCAATGAAATACACTTCAAGAGTTTTACGCTATCTAACAAAAATTTCCAAGCGGAAACATGAAGATTGTGCGTCCGTGACTTGCTTTGCTTTTCCTCGAAACAGGAAACTAAAAAGTTGGTCATCCACTTTAAAGAACAAAACAAATAAAACATTATTCTTTGAATCTTTTGATCACGGGTTTTTGTAATCACTAAATCAGGAATACGCACCTAACACCTCCACGTAAAAACAATTCGCACTTGCAATAAAGTATACCAAGTATTTTGACACATGGTATACTCGCTATATTCCTTTTTATTTGTCTTATTTGTAAGGTAGTGGTGTAATATAAAAAGGGTATATTTATCGTATTTCATATTAATTTTTGGATTGGTGTAGTTGACAAGAGGGAAACTTACAGTAACCAAACTAAACATAGTGAATGTGATGGTAAACCGGCATACTCGTATGATTATTTAAAGATCAAGGCAAATTCAAATGAATAACTCAAAAAGAAAAGTACGGCTAAGTTTATAAGGATAAGGGGTTACTCCTATTGACAATTTGACATATATATGATCTAATTTTAAATGAAACTTCGTTTAACTTGTAAAGTGAACTATTTCTTCTAATAGTGAGTGCACCTAGACGGCCAGACCCTTGTAATTTACAAATGTTTTATAATGTTTGTTGTTTGAACCTCGTTATTTGTAGAATAAAGTGTTTGTGAAATGATGCAAAAACTTTAGTGCGATTGCCCATACATTCATACTCACTTTTTCACCAACTATTCTTACGTGTGGTGGGTTTTATTTAAGGAATCCAACAACGTATGCAAATAATTTTTCATCATAAACGTTAGGTCACACTCGTCACGTACACAATTAAATACAACTATTAAAAATTTATCCACGTTTACGTGAAAATACATTTTTCTTTTCTCCGACAATAACACAACTACTACAACAAACCTCGGAGTACATGGTAAATAAATATTGCTTCATGTGCTAGTGTAACACCACAACATCCATGTCATCAACGAATATAATGTACAAATGGTTTTTTAGTATGAGAAGCTTTTTGGCTTATCATGTTCATGCATGCATGCTTTATCATTAGGCGCTTGATTAAAAAACGATGGAAATTAATTACGTATACAGAAATTACGTTGTTGATGACACTTGAATTAGTTGATTACACAAGAACTCCGAACATAAACTTATTATGGCACTACCCAAATCCAACGTTGAATTCTTACACTTTTCCAGTATTTTAAGAGACTACAGGAATCCCCAAAATATAATATAAAAAATAAGTAAGAAAAATACGAAATAGTTTTAAAATAATGGAGCATAATAAAATAAGCAAAAAAAACCTAAGAAAAGTGTTGTTATGGAGCTAAGTTATTCAAGTAGTTCCTCTCGCAAACTCCAGAGCAAGATTTAACGCACCCTTCTACTTCTTTTCCACCTGCAATTGTCAATTTAAATACAACTTGGTCACAAAATAATTACAATATAATGCATGATAATAAAAATGTCTACAAAGATGTTGATAATTACTTAATAATAATATAGTACCCTAAATCAACTTATTTTACAAAATAACGACCGTTAACCTAGTAACTACCACGTGCTTGTATTAGGAAAACACCGTTTCTCGTTTGTTTAGAACAATCAGTGTTTAGGAATACAATTATCCAAACTATGTTAAACAAAAGACTGATGATGTATAATAACAAAAAATTAAAAATGTATATACGTGCGTACCTGGTTTTTTTATGGTACTAATTTTGGTGCAATGAGAAGAAGCACAACCAAGGTTGCAAAAATGGAAGGAAGTAACAAGGGTATTATTTGAAGGGATAATACAATCCCTAAGACACTCAAAAGCACAATAAGAAAGAGTGTGAGTTGGTTGAATAGCACAAAGAATATAACATGGAATATAACACTCTTGGAAAGTTGTAGCATTGCATTTTCTTGACATTATGCTTAAACCCATTATTATGAACATTAACAATATTGTTAATGATCTTGATTTCTTGAACTTCATCATATTTAGCAAGTGATAGATGAAATTTAGCAAAAATAATTTAGGGTGTTTTGCTAGGTTTTTGGAGCACTGATTTGGAGGTTTATATATACAAGAAACAATTGGTTGAGTAGATATAATCTATATAAAAATGCACAAGTTGTATTATATAGAGCCAACAAGATGATAATTTAAGAGTCACATGTGAACCATTTAGGTTTGTTGCCATGTGAGATTTCTCATTCATTTTTGCCAATTATTGGATTCTATGGGTGGAATTACAAATCACTATTCACGAGTATGGAGTTTTCCATGATTCCTAGATGATCCTATGAGTAGATTATAATAATCCAATATTGGTTATTATTTTTTTTTATTAACTATTCATACCTTTTTAGGCTTCTTATCCATTCACGGAATTTTCAAAGTACCTTTATATATCGAGTGCGGCTACATTTACTTTAATCATTAATTAATGTCTATTGGATGACAATTTTGAAAATTGAATTTTTTTCCTAAGACATTAATCAATTACGAGTAACAATTTCAAAGACATTAATCATTAAGTTAAATATTTCCATTTTTTATCGTATTATGTAAAACACAAAATGTCTATCATATTTGTCACCTAACAAATACTCGTGACTTCGGGAAAAAGTCCTTCGTGTTAAGCACAAGAGGAAAAAAAAAAAAAAAATCAATATACCAAGTATGTAATTGAGTGTTATACGACTAATAGTTAGCCATTTAACCCACTTGGCAAAAGCAAACGTTCTTTTCAGTTAGATTTCCTGTCATATCATTTGACAATTGAATTGGCCAATATTCACAGGTAAAACAGTGATTCGTGGAGAAAAGCAAGTAACATTAACCAGAAAAAAGAAAGCCCTGCTAGGCTGATATATAACATATTCACTAGAAATTTCACAGCTGATTCTTTGCTCCTCAAAAAAATGCTCCTCTGAGTCATTTAGCTGGCTTACATACCTTGCCTTGACCAGATAATAGCATTCTGGTTGGATTTGGAGGCTACAGCAAGAGTGTGATCGAAAAGCATCATAAATTCACAAGTTCCGGCTCATCATTTACCCAAATGGATTTCCTCCACCCATAGGATATGAACTTTGGTCTGTAGGTGCTGGATATCTATATGGAGACTGCTGATTCGAATGTAACAATACTGTCGATCCTATGTCGCCACCAAAGCCATTCGTTCCTTGTATGCTGCACTACATTATTGACATGAGATACAATTACACTAGTAGACACAAGAAATGGATCATCCATTCCAATTCAACAAAACCCATGACGAAGGTTAAAAAAGCAGTGTAATAACTAATGGCAAACAAATCACTACATACCCTTCAATTTCTGCCAATGAAATTTAGCAAGTTATAAAGTCGGTAAAACCGAAGCCTCATATTGAAATATACCATACTAAACCAACAAATCCTCTATTAAATGGCTTGTTTGTGATAGAGCTAACATGTATATCCTAGCAAGAACTACCAATAGAGAGATTCAATTTGGGTTAAAGCTATCAAGTAGAATCAGTCCCTAATTGAGTTGAATTATTGCAGGGCCAGAAAAGAAAAGTCATTAACACAAACAGGTATAAATCTTCACGTGTTCAAGAACGAAACATCAAAATCCACAGATCAAAAAACAAGAGAAGAAAATAAAAGGCACAGTTATAACTTTAAACAGTCAATTACTGCATATATTTTTTTGCGAGAGAACTAATTTCCTGAAAATGAACCTATTAAATCACCAAATTTGTCATATCCTACAGTCAGTCCCAACACGTTAAAGATCAAATACCTGGTCGTTGGCTTGTTATGTAGAAAATGCTGCCCCATATATGCACCTGAAATATTTGAAGCACTTGTAAGCAAATCAAACAAGCTTGGTGCAAACAAATTGGTAAAAACAACTTGACATAAATATGGAAGAGAAGAAACAAATACTATGTGAAGAACTACCTGGAGCACAAGGTGATTGATGATGCGCACTAGAAAAATAAGCAGTAGAACCAGTTAGTGCAGAACCTGGAAGATGTGATCCAAATCTTGTAGCATGTGACAAGCCTGCTGGAATGAAAGAGTGACTCGATCCTCCTTGCAGATATCCCATTGCAGAAGACTGCATCACATTAAGCATAGCTTGTGATGGTATTGCTTTGTAATATATTTCATACAGCAAGGGGAGTAGTGTTGGACAAGTTAATATAGTGCTAATGTTGCCTATTAGCTTCATTTCATGCTAAGAGAAGCAAAGGATGGAATAATACAAACTCCACCCCCCCCCCCCACCCCCCTCAAAAAGGTACATCCCTAGACCCTCGGCCACTAACTATCATCTTCTAGGATTCTACTAAAAGGCTCAGTGATAAGGTGAATTCATGTTCAACATCAAATTCAATACAAGTTCAGTCAAGTTGCAAAACATCTTTCAAGAGCTATAAGCTTTATTAGTGGTGAAAATTTTAAAATAACTGTACCAAGTTAGTATGAGGTTGAGCACTGTTGTCATTCGTGTCAAATGGGTTACTTGATTTGGCCACATATTGAAACGGGGGTATTTTCTGGAATACAAAATCCACATATAATCAGAGAGACAAGGAAAAGTTAATTTAAGACACCCAAGGATTCAAATATACCATCAAAAAGTTCCTTTACAATCAAATATTTCTATATAATCAAATTTTGGTGAAGTCTTCAATATTACACCCTCCATCCCAAAATAATTTTGACACTTATCATGTCACATAGTTTTATGAGATAAGTTATTATTTGCATATCAATTGTTTATTTATTGAAAAAGTATATATGTAGAGGGTTTTTTTTTTTTTTTATTAAATGTAAGAATTGGGCCATAAATTTTTAGTAATGAAAAGAAAAATTCATTAAAATAATAATAGAGCAATTTCTAAAATTGAAGTGTATAAACAACTTTGAGAGAGATGAAAAGGAAAGTGTAAAATTAAATCCAGAACAAAAGGAATATAATAATAATAAAATATACCATCTGAGGAGGGTAATAATGCATGTTAAAGCCCATGCCATTATTTGAACCAGCTGGCCACCCTGAGGCTGAAATTGGGCTTAATAGATTAGGAGAAGCAAAAAGGTCCTACAGAGAAGACAAGTACTTTGAGAAATTCGTAATAAGGAACAAATATTTAACAAGATTATATTAATGCTTACTGCAGGAAGCTCTTTCCTTCCACCAGTTTTTGTGTCTGCAAGATAAGGCTTCATTTCAATTAAAGATTCTGCTTCTCCAGTTGGACCTAGAGCAGGCTGAGGTGATTGTGCAGTAGGATCGCCAAAAATTACTGGAGCAAATGATGCTGGGGGCAACATTGTTGGCTGCCAAGTATACATAAAAAATAAGCAATGTTACTGATTCATGCATCTCAAGCCTTCATGAAACAAAGCAAGGCTTCAACCCTGTGTCCTTTAACAGACAAATCTGCAAGCTTCAACATGCAGACAGTTTGACAACTATCTCAGACACTTTTTTTTAACACTGGCTAATTGTCTTGTTGTTCACTGGGAAACACATCTAATACGGAAATCAGGTGTACTTCCACACAATGCATGGAAAATTATTGAAAACTTAAAAGTGTCTGATTCTCTTAAACTTTTCGTTTAAACTTTTACAATTCAGGACCAAGGAGACAAGGATGGTTTACAGAGACATTAAGGGAAAGGAGACTACTAACATTAAGGGCCAAGACCAGAGAAGGGTCAGGGGAGGTTTCCTTAGCCTCTCTCTTACCTTCTTTCTCATTGATTCAGTCCAAAATTTCCAACCTGATAGCAAAGTAATTGTCATTTAATGTTAATTGTACTTCAAGAGTTTGAGGATTAGATGTGCTCGACCTAACAGAAGACGAACAATAGAACTCTAGCTCATTGGCACAGTAATGCTTCACAGAGGCTATAGGCATGCATAGAAGAGTAAAGTCAGGAACAGAAATAGCCTTCTCTTCATGCAAAAACCTTTATTTGGGAGCATTACTCTTGAGTCTTGACCACTAAGATTTAAAATTAGCATGCTACTATGTCAATTGCCAAAAAATAAAATATGATAGTCAAATTAACCGATTTTATCCACCACAATACAGAAATGGAGTAAATTAAGTCTTACCTGATTATTTGCACCTTCATTTAAATGGCTGATTTGAATAGGAGCGGAGAAAGTATCTGAAACCAGGGTAGGCCCAAGATGCTGTGTACTTGAAGACTGCTTTATGCCAATATCTTCAGTGGCATACTCACCATCATCACCAAGTAGATCTGGCACCATCTGAGAAGTAGCACCTTTAGGAGTATCTGCATCAGTTGATCTTGCTGGCATGCTGATGGATAATGTATTGGATGTGGTGGTAGCAGCAGCAGAATACGAAGTACACTCATCAGTTAAAGCTTGAGATACTGCAACATGTTAAAAAATCCTCAGAGCCACTGGAAATAATGGCAGTTCATGTGATGGTTCTAAAATATGATTACCACTTGTGGATGGTGCTAGTACATGATTCCATGTTGAACGGTTGCTTGAAGGACTTGATACATCATTTTCCTCACAGGGAATTCCAGACTGATTACTATGGGTCATTTCAGCCCGAGAAAATAATTCAAATAGCAAGAATTCCAAAGTATTAGGATGAGCATAACCAGGAGTATTCTTCGCAGGTGGCTTCATAGCAATATTCATTTGTGGACCAAGACTTTGGACAGATATATCAGATCGAGAAGAAAAATCTGTAAAGACATCCAATGATCCAGAGCTTTCACTTTTGCGTTTCGGTTCAACGTGGCTGGATGGTGGTTGACTTCCAGATTCTGCAGTGTTCTAAAAAACCGAACATCATGTATCAATTTGGGTAAAAGCCAAATATTTTTAAGAATCTTAAACCATATCAATACTTCAACCAATCAGGGGTATAAAGCCATATTCAAATAAAGCAGATATGCCTTCTGTCAGATACGGGAATATTTAGCAGCAAGTAAAAAAGAATTAAAGATATCCCAAAGAAAAAAAGGACAAGCAGCAACTAATATTGAGCTAACGACTATAGCATGTAGAACAATAAAGGATTCTATGATAGGTTAAAGAAATTGCATACAATAGTACCTCAACCCAAAAAATAAAGAAGGTTCCAATATATGGCCCACCTGAACATCAGCTGAAATAGCTCTTTGAAGAATTGTTTCATTATGATCTACACTTCTATGGCTTTCTTTATGATGATCACGCTCCTGCTGCACATATCATGGAGCTACTTTTAACATGAAACTAAAATCAGCAGCATTTCACAAATATGGAATCAACCATAGAATCAGCAAAGTACTCACAGCATTAGCAGTAGCAACTTTATCATATCTCCTATCAGCAAATTTAGGATGATTGGCAACACGTAAAGCAACAGAGTTTTCTCCAAGGATCTCTTTCACATGATGTAGTGTAGGGCTTTTTGCATCAATACTCCGTCGGCGATCAGGGGACCTCCTTCTGGGCTTAATGTCTTCAGTGGTAAACATCTGGGTAGCAGCTCGCCCAGAAATTCTAGTGTCATCCACTTGATAACGACCTTCTGTACCCTCAAAACGAGACGAACCAGCCCTGGAATCACCGTATCTAGAGAATTCTCCTGAGTAGGGAGGACTTCTAGATTCATCACAAGCATATCTACTATATTTGTCAATAGTTTTCGCATGAAAAGTGGAGCTTTCACCCTTAACTACTCTTTTGTGTTCATAAGGCTCGTACATTCCACTCTGGATAAAATAGGTTCCAATGAAGACAGGTTATGAGGGAACAAAATCTTAACTCAAATTACAACATATGAAATCCTCCTTAACCCCCCAAAACAAAGAGCCTATTTTAGCAAAAACAAAACCAAGCCAGTAAAATTATCAATGTTTCAGAACAGATTTTGTGCATAACAGTCAGAGAAGGATTCCACATTCTATGTGTTGATGTGTTATAATTTGCGTGCCACATTCTCTTATTGGTTGAGAATAAGCAATGTTTTTCAAATTTTGAAAAAAGGGTGGTGGGCATTAATTGCAAGATAGGATTTAAATTCTTTTTAAAACATACAAAAATTGTCCCTAGATGAGTAGTAATTGAATAAGATGCAGTTCAAGGGCTTACATTTCGTGACCTTTGAGCCGAAGCAGGATGGGTCTCACCGGTATATTGTTTATCCACATAGACATGCTTGATAAAATCACGAATTCTATGTATATTACTGCAACAAAACCAATGTAACAGAAAACACATAAATATTGTTTACAGCAGTACATAGTTTAAATTCAATTCAAAATGCACTAACCTGTTTTCTGGGAGAGAATTACGCTGTGGATCCCATGTTTTGAAGTAACTCTGCCTTGCTCTCTTTAAGGATACAAGTAGGTTAGACCGTACACTTGACGATATCATAGCATACATATAATAAGTGAACGAGTACACACCTCATTTCCTCCTGCTTGAAGAGCAGTAACTTCTTCCATGGAGAATTTGGCCATCGATACAGATTTTACACGATGAGTGAATTCACGGCTGGAAAAATAAAATCAGAAGGCCACTCATCATTTCATATCTAAGGTGCTATGATGAGATGATATTCACTGGTGTAAAAACACCCAGCAAGAGTATCATCAAAAACACAATTTATTTTAAAAGAACACATAGATACTTACTGCACCCCGCTACAATTTGTACACACGTATGTCAAAAATGTCATGCAAACATATTGTGGTCCCTGATTCAAGATAAGACATATGTTCAGGAGCAAGGCAAAGAAATAAGTAACAACATTGTATTACTTCAAATACAAGCTGGCGGTGTATCATTTACTTACTACTTAAACAATAACAAGCAAGACATTTGAGACATATCCTCATTAAGGGAAATAAATTCATCTACAAAATAATTTTCTAGAGTTGTATATACATATCTTCTTTTAACTGAAATATTTAGATAAATTTCTTATATTATTTCTGATAAATGGCTATTGTTCAAAAATGTTTATATTCATGAAGAATTAAAATTTCATAAGCCGAATTTCATAGGAATAATATCATGAGTTTATCAAAAAAATATTCTGAGTTTATCTCTGGGTAAAAAACTGATATCTCAGGGTAAAAGACTTGTATAAGACTATAAGCGAATACTTTAATCACAAAAGTGGTTATTAAGTTCAAGCAAAAGCGCAACACCAATTCTCTAGTATCCTAAAGAAGATTGTTGTGGCCTTGTGGGATGATTATAAGATGAATTCAGATCAAATCCATCCACACGTAGAATTTAGGTATATAGAAATTCTAGCATCAGGAATGATGGCTGAAAAACAGCAGTCTGCAGTACGAATAATCATAAGATTCCATCTTAAAGTAAAGAAGTTACAATCAGTACCTCCATGCATACAATTCTAAGCATAAATTTGCCTCGGAAAGTAAAACCCAGATCTAAAAGTTTGGGATGAACATCATATTGCAGTTGGTGTTATTTAGCGGCCATAGCAAGACCTATTAGGTACGGGGCATAAAACCTCAGCCATTTAGACGGGTAACTCAATACAAAAAATATGCCACATTAGCATTTTCGAAGATCAAATAACATTATCTGACTCAATGTTGAGAGAATACAGATAGGTAAATAACTAGACATTGCATAAAAGCTTTTAAGCAAAACATATAAGCCCATGATACCTCATTCCTATTCAATCAATCACCTTTACCATTTTTTAACTAACAAGTTTGAAGGAAAGGGCTAAACGAGAAGCTAAAATAGAAATATACTTCGTATATCATTTGATAAGCATTAATTACACCGATTGGTACAATTTTGTCATCAATTATGGGGTCTATATTATTTCACAATGTATAAATTATATTGGGTAAAGATTTTGCTAATGTAATCCATTGAATTCCCCAAAAAAAAAAAAAAAAAAAAAATAAAAATAAAAAAAAATCAATAACTTAATACAAAAAAATTCAGACAAAATTCAAACAAATTATAAAATAAAAAAAAATATAAAAGAATTTTGTTTTTGGGCTTTACCAAACTGTTGCAATTGATGCATCGCCGATTTTCTGGAAGTTTCAATAATCCACGAATAATCTTCTCTATCTTGTCCTCTTCCTTGGATTTCCCCATATTAATGTACAACTCCCCTGTTATTTCCCGAAAAAAAAAAAGCAAAATTTGATTGACATTTCAGAATTAAACAGTAACCCATATCAATAATCAGCATGAATATCAAAATTGTTCATCTGGGAAACGTAAGAAAAATTCCCTAGCATTGAAAATAATGTGAATTATAATTAACAAAAAAAATAAACAAATTTTGCATGAAACAGGAAAAATAATTACAGCAAGATAAATCTGTATTCTTACCAGGGGAAGGGGGATTGGAAGGCAAAAAAATAAAATAAAATATGGGGTTGAAACTTGATAATTGATGATGATAAATATAAGCTGAGGGTTTCGCCCATTTTGCGGTGTAAGAAGCCATTTTCGGTAGCACCATTGCAGAAGAACACTGGGCTGAAGAGATGATCAATCCTCGGGCCGGGCTGGAATATATGTGCCCAAATCCGCCTAAATTAGCTGAGTTGTGCGGGCTTTCGGGCCGGGCCAAAAAATTTGTATAAAATTAATATCCCAACTCCATCCAAATTTTTAAAAATTAGGCCGGGACCGACCTGTTTTTGGGCTGGAAAAACTGCACAAAACCTGTCCAAATTGGGCCAGGTCGTGCTGAACTTGTTTAGGTCTATATAAAGGTTCTTTTTTAAATAAAGTGGCATAAAAGTCTTTTTATCGAATTTGGGTTGTGGCGAGGGTCTTATGACCGGATTCTGACCATTGAATTTTTTTTTTTTTTTTGACAAAAAAAGTCACGTACATTGCACGTGACAACTTAAAATTCGTTTTTTTCTACATAAGGTACGAATCTCTTATTGTTAAAGATTTAGGTTTTATGAAGAAGCTACTATCAAACTACCAAAACTATTATTAGTGTGATTAAAATACGTAGTATTAAAATTATTTACGCTGTACAAAAATAAACACCTCCTTTTAAATTATTTACAACGATTTAACGAAGGTAGTTATATTGAAATATACATAGTATATTCCCGTAAATATATATATATATATATATATATATATATATATATATATATATATATATATATATATATATATATATATATATATATATATATATATATATATATATATATATATATATATATATATATATATATATATATATATATATATATATATATATATATATATACATAGTATATTGAAATTGTATGACACCTGTAAAATGTATTAAAATTATCATTTGTATAAAATTTAAAATATGAAGGGCCCAAATATATACTTTGTATTTTAGAATAGACCCCAAAATCATTAAGATGACCCTAGTTTCTAAAACCATAAAACTTTCTATCATATACTACCTCTGTTTCAATTGATTGATATTGTTGGTTTCAGGGAAAAAAGGTAAAACAAGTGTTGATTGATTGGAAAAACCTACTTTCAAAATTGCTGGTAGAAATCATTGAAAATTACTTAATGATAATGTAGTTGTTTTTATTAGATTTCATTTTCCCACAAATTTGGACGGCGAGGATTTGAGGATTTTAGGCCTCAATGCTAACAACAAACATAAAACGGTTAGACTCAAGATCAGAATTAGTTGTTGATTGAGCTAGAATAGTTGGTTCATAACAAAATGGTTAATTTTCAATTATATTACATGACAGTAATATCATACTCATTAAGTGTTATATGCCGTCGATCGCTCTGGTAATCATAATCAGTATTATACTCATAAGTCTTCATATTTTCATCTTAAGCTGACATTATTCAATATTGTCCTTTATCAATAATTCAATATTGGTATCCCATCTAGCCTTGGAGATTCAACTGATCCTGACTCCTTCGCTTTCGCCCTCTGTTTATCAGCCTCCTCCGCCTGCTCCAGAGCATCTGGGTTGACCTCTAGTACTGCTATGAGAACTGGGTTATGTTTTTCAATCTGATGTAGGTAGAATTGTACTAGTTCTTTTGAGGTAAGCTTGTTTTGGTGGAAAGTTGTTTGGAGATCTTTTATGGTAGCTTCTTTAATTGGGAATTTTGATTGGAAATCATCGTTGTCTGATGATACTATGGAATATATGAGCCTATGTTTGTCATGAATAATATCATAGGAATACCTCACGGTGGTTTGTTTTCCTACTGGATTTGTTTGTGTGAAAATACATTCAATAGTAGCCCATGAGATAGATTTTTTTAGAGATTGGAGGTTAATGTTTTGGTTTTTCAAAAACCATGAGTTTCTTCTGTTCAATAGGTGCCGAAGGGAGAAAGCAAAGGAGACTTTCCAAGGACTTGATTAGGGAGAGAGAAAGAAGAGGTGAGGTTGATTTTTGTTAGAGTATATATTTATGTACTTTTGTATTATGTAATTACTTTGTTAACCTAAGGCTAAACCCTAATCTCTTTGTACATATTGTGCATATTAATCCAATCACTAAAGTTCTGGAAATAATATGGTGTGAATTCAGGAAGACTCCAGAGTTTAAAGGCTTTAGGGCATTTCTTGAAGAGGTTCCTTGATATTTTGGCAGAAAATGTTGTTTGGACTCTTGCTATTTAAACGTTTGTTGAGATTAGAATTTAAGTGCAGTTTATCCTTGCAGAGTTGCCAAATGAATAACTCCATTTATTAAAGTCCAGCTGTTTGTGAATGGTGGCCGGATTCAAGGTTGAAGAGAAAGTTGTTTGAAGGATCCTTTTCAAGGGCAATTTAGGTTCCTTTCAATCTTGCCAGAATTCTTTTCTTTGTTCCAGGGATGAATTGCATATTATTTGACCATTCAACGAGGTTTAGTTGGAAGGAAGAGAGCTTATCAAGTAGAGTGTTTGAATTCGAGATCAAAGAATGGTGGAAAAGTGGTTCAATAAAGGATGGTTCTAAGAACATGTTGGTTCAAATTGAAAAGGATTAAAGCCGGGGGGTGAAATTTTTGTTACAGACAGGATAATAAGATGATGATCAGAGGAGGGTTAAAGGCTCTAATATTGTGAGTTTTTGGAGATCAGAGTTCCCCCCTCCCCCTTTTTTCATATTAATTAGCTATTTCATAGAAGTTATAGGGCGCTGCCTAGTTTATCTTATTGATAGGCAAACTTCGTCAATCTTTTTCGCCAGCTCACATTTGTAAGTACAAGTAATGTGGGTTCCATCTTCCGCATTACACATGTTGCCAGCTATGCTCACTCTGCTTTCATATTGAGCGACTCCGTTTTTTTTTTTTTTTTTTTTTTTGAAAAGAGGGGGAGAATATATTAATAATTGTCAAGTTCCGCAAGCTGTAAGACAGTTTCCGGAAAAGACTCAAACATAACTTGTTCGGGTACAGAGGTGGTACAAGATCTAGCAATAAAGTGAGCCACTGTATTCCCTCCCCTCTTTACATGAGAACAAGCAAAAGAATTAAAATTCGGGATTATCTTCACAATGTTATCCACAAACAAGTGCACATAAGAGAGACCAAGTTGATGTTGCCTGATTTTCTGCACAATGTTTATAGCATCACTTTCCATCCATATATCAGCATACTCAAAGCGTTTAGCGAGCTCCACCCCATAACAGAATGCTGCGGCCTCGATCACAGCAGGATCCCAGCAGCCCTGCATTCTCTTTGCTGCTGTGAACAGAATCGTGCCTTCAGAATTTCTGGCAACTACCCCAACACCAACTTCTGCATTCTGAAATAAGGCAGCGTCAACATTAATTTTGATTGTCCCTGCTGCAGGTTTCTTCCATGTTGTTGCTGTGAGGTTGCTGCCAAAGTTAGGCCCACCAGACACCTTTGTTGAATATGAGTTATAGTCTGCTACATATCTTACCATGCTGCCTGCAAGAGCTTGAGGATCGTGGGCTTCATTTGCATGTATTGTTTTGTTTCTGCTCATCCACAAAGCCCACATGAGAGTAGACATAACACAAAGCTTCTCCCTAGACAAGTCCACAGCCCAACGAGAGAAAAAGGTACAAAAGGGCTCATCCCTCACTGTGGCAACTAAGCTATGAAATGGACTTCTCTGCCAAACATCCTGTACCGAGCGACATTGAAATAGCGCATGGCTGATTGTTTCTTCCGCTTCATTGCATCTCTGGCAGACCCCATTCTCTCTCAAATGCCTTCTATGCAACTCACTTCCTACCGCTAAAGCATTGTGACAGGCCCTCCAAAGAAAGTGACGCAGCTTAAGGGGACCCTTAACAGACCATATGTGCTTCCAAACTTCATTCTGCTGCCGGTTGCTACTGGTATGGGGGGCAGACATACCCAGCCAGTAAGCCGTTTTCACCGTAAACATTCCAGAGTTATTAAAACCCCATATGGGAACATCCGGACCCAGAGGTGAATGCAGGGGTAAAGCTAGGATAGAGGAAATATCATCCTCTTGAAAATGTAGCTCCATTTCCTGTTGATCCCATTGTCCAGCCTGGTAGTCAATTAATTGTGCCACCTTTAAGTCATGGTCATACAACCCATTCGGTGGAGGCGTAGGAATCTCTCTTCCTCTCCCTTTCCACAACCACTTATCCTTCCATACTTTAATGCATTGTCCATTTCCCACTCTCCAAATCAAGCCTTCTAGTAACAAGGACTTTGCTCCCCAGATACTCCTCCACGTGTAGCTAGGATCGTATCCCCTACTAGCCTCCAGAAAATCAGCATGTTTAAAGTATCTTGCTTTGAGCACAGAATAAAGAAGGGACTCTTTCTCATGAATTAAACGCCATCCCTGCTTTGCTAATAAGGCCTGGTTAAACACCTTCAAGTTCCGGAAACCCATAACCCCGTTTGCTTTCGGTAGACAGAGAGTGTCCCAAGATTTCCAGTGCATTTTATTAACCCTTCCATTTCCCCACCAAAATCTGGCCATAATGGCATGAATTTCATCCACGAGACCATCCGGTAGTTTGAAGACACTCATCAGATAGGTTGGGATGGCTTGGGCAACAACCTTGATAAGAACCTCCTTACCTGCCTTCGAAAGTAACCTCTCCTTCCACCCCTGTAATTTCTTCCAGATCCTACTTTTAATGTTTGCAAAAATCACTTTTTTCGATCTCCCAATAAGCGTTGGCATACCCAAATATTTCTCATGTTTCACAACCACATTGACACCAAGTAAGTCACAAATATCCCTTCTCCTACTTTCAGGCACATGCTTGCTAAAAGATACTTCAGACTTACTTAAATTAATTTTTTGGCCTGAAGCATTCTCGTAAATACAGAGGATTTCCGAAATTTTCTGACATTCTTCAATGGTAGCCCTCGCAAATAGAATACTGTCGTCGGCAAAAAATAAATGGGAAATGCTAGGAGCACCATGAAAAATCCTTACCCCATGAATCACCCTCTCATCAACACCTTTGATCAGGAGTCGAGAAAAAACATCTGCAACCAGTAAAAACAAATATGGAGATATGGGATCACCCTGTCGGATGCCTCTGCCCGGAATAATATTCCCAAAAATCTCGCCATTTAATTTTACTTGAAAGGAGTAGCAAGAGAGGCAGCCCATGATTTTACTCACCCAGGAAGCACAAAATCCAAACTTCAGCATTACGTGTTCTAAAAAACCCCATTCAACCCGGTCATACGCCTTCATCATGTCCAATTTAAGGGCCATAGTACCATGTTTCCCATCCCCCTTACGCTTCATATAATGAAAAATCTCAAAAGCAACAAGAGCATTATCCGTTATAAGTCTACCCAGAACAAAGGCACTCTGTTGTTGGGAGATTGCTGATTTCAAAAAAGGCTTGAGACGGTTGGCCATCATTTTTGAGATTATTTTATATAGCACATTACACAAACTGATTGGTCTATATTCTGTTATCTTTCGGGGCTCTTGACATTTCGGAATTAAGACAATACAAGTTTTCCCAATATCCGAAATATCCACATTACAATACCACCAATCAAGAATAAAATTAATAATATCAATGCCAACAACATGCCAAAATTTTTGGTAAAAGAGAGCGTGCATACCATCAATTCCGGGAGCCTTATTAGGGTGCATTTCAAAGAGGGCTCGGTGAATCTCCTCCCCTGTAGGCTCGGCACACAACTTCTGATTCATCTCATCTGTAATAACATTCGAAACTCCAGCAAGTGCCTCATCGATATCCCTACTGCCATCAGATGTAAAGAGGGTGGAAAAATAGCCTGAAATAATGTCTTGCATATCTTTTTTGTCCTGCTTCCATACACCATCTCCATCTTCCAGCCCCTTAATACTGTTTTTTCTCCTCCGAGCATTAGCTTTATGATGGAAATAACTAGTGTTCTTATCACCATCTCGTAATTCGTTAGCCCTTGCCCGAGCATGCCAGTAGGATTCCTCCAACATAAGAAGCTCATCAAGCTCCTGCGATATACTCCAGCATCTATGCAAATTGACACCATCCATTACACCTTGCTGTGTTGCTAGAAGCCTCTCCTCAGCCTTCTTAATTCTTTTCCTTATATCCCCAAAGGTGTTCGAAGCCCACAGACTGAGAGATTCCGCACAATTAGCAATCCTCATATGAATAGGATCAACCACATTATTGTTCCAGGCAGATTTGACCACACTTTCGCACTCCGATTTTGAGAGCCAAAGTGCCTCAAACCGGAATATCCTTTTTTTTCTTCTATTCTCCTCCCTCAATCCCGCCTTGAGAATAATTGGAGCATGATCAGAATGCTTGATATTTATTGGGAGGTTGTTGACATTGTAATACGGGAATAAACCACACCAACAATCGCATGCCAGGAACCTATCTAACCTCTCCCTGATAAGCGTTGAAAGAGATTGACCGCGCTGCCATGTGAACTTACAGCCTTTGAAACCCAAATCTCTAACACCCATAACATCCAAAACTTCCCTAAAGTTATCCATGCATCGCTCACTCCTAGGAATACCGCCTTCCTTCTCTGTATCAATAAGAACTTCATTAAAATCGCCAAAAAAAACCATCGGAATGCTGCAATGTTGCCGTAGGTTCTTCATTAAAGCCCAAGTTTTATGTTTGTTTTCCTTCTCCGGCCACCCATATACACCTACTGCCCTCCATATTGGGTCGTTATTACAATTTACAATGTCCACAGCAATATGATTGGAAGAGAACGAAACCAGCCTAGCTGAAACATCCCTCCACCATAGACCAATTCCACCCGACAGCCCATTACTACAAACACTAATACCATCTGTGAAGCCACATTTGTTACGAATACCCTCTAGTCTACTCGAGTCAATTTTAGTCTCCATAACAAAGACTATATATGGCAACTCTCTCCAGCACAAGTCCCTGAGAGCAGAAACTGTACGGGGGTTGCCAATTCCCCGACAGTTCCAGCTTATGATTTTCATGGCTGTTCGCGGGGTGGATTAATGTCCTCCCCCGCTACTTGAAGAAGAGAATTGTTATAGGCACTATCATCCACAGTCACTCTACACTTTTTGTTGCTTAACACCATTTCACCACGGTTCTCATCATCTATCTCCATATTATCCCCGTGCTTTCTTTTCAGGCAAAGATCAGGCCTATCTTCACTACAAGCCCCCTCACTACCCATGCCCCCTTTCTGTCTTTACGTACAGAAAGAGTTTTCTTCCCCATCCTAATTGTGCCTTTCAACTTGTTCACTACCTCCTTTCTTACCTCTGCAGTACCCCTCTCAAACAATATAGGTGCTGGGACTACTTCACCCTCTCCTTCTACTCTCTCCCCACATATACCATTGAGCGACTCCGTTAGTAGACAGACATGTATTCATGGTAAGACTATTTAATATTAGGTAGTTGGTTTTTTGTATCCATGCTTTCTTCAATTAGAGAACGGCTTCTGTTACCCAATTCTTTGACTAGCATGGTGGTTCATTGAGATAGTTGGTGACCGCGCAACTGTTTGAGTGTCACAAATTAGAGAGCTGGTTGTAATCCCCCATATTTTTAAATAATTTATAAATGAAATTTTATTTTATTTATAATATTTATTTGTATTTTTCCGGAATTTAATTTAAAAGTTTTAAATCATTAATTTGGGTCAAAAAATATTTTAGTACAAATTATTTTATAAACCTTCATTCTACAATTTATGCCTATACAAAAAAGCTTAGTCCATTTTATTTATTTAATTGGCCCATTATTTTCATGAGGCTCAATCTTCCTACTTACCCTACGACTCTCTCTCCCCATAAATCCCCAAATTTTTCCCACACAAAAGGTTAGTTTTATTTTTCCTTCTCCTTTATATTTACTTTCTTTTATTTTCCTTTTCTTTTCTTTTTCCTTTTTCTTTCTTTTCTTTTCTTTTCTTTTTCTTCTTCTTTACGTGAGACTTGCTGGTCACTATTTCTTGCTGCTGCCGCCACTTACCTCGCCGGATTCTGGCGCCCTTGACCTCCAACCGTCGGTGAACCACCAGCCCAGCCACTCGTGGCCATCCCCCTTCTCTCTCTTTTCTTGTTTTTATTCCTATTCCTTAAATTTATACTATTGGTTTTGATTTTTGATTTTATTGTTTTAAGTATGATTAATTGATTATATAATCATGATTTTGATGTTTTAAACTTATAATTTCAGTTTATAATTGTGTTATAAATTTTCAGATTTTGTAATTCTAAAACCTATGGTTCTATTTATTTAAATTGGGATTTTAGGGTTCTTATGATGATGAGTTTATTTTATATATATTTTTATTTCCCATCCCACGGTCAAATTTGTGCTTATTTGAGCTCTACGGAGCTATTTTTATTACTAATATACATTTTCTAGTGTTTTTTTAGAGTTGGTATTATTAGTAAGATTTTGCAGAATTATGATAACTCCCGAGTTTATTGAGCCACTACAAAGACATTGGAGTCGGATCGTATTTTATGACCGTATATTTAAAGTCCAAGACCGAGTTAAAGGAATTTGGTTCGGTAATTAAGGACTCGATATGTGATAGGTCCAAATTAATATTTTAGACCAAGTAATGAACAAGCTAGTACACAGATCAAGCAAGTTAAAGATTTGGGCTAAAATAAGAAGCCCAATCCCAAGAGGATGCTGCTGGGCTAGTAAAAACACCGGGCCCGATCAATCTAATCGTGGTCCGACCGGTCGCGCTCACCTATTGCTATCGCAACACTGCATTGTCTATCTTCGTATATTATCAATACCCAATTACGGAAGTATGAGGGGACAACTTTTGTTTTATTAAGACCTTTTAGCTTAACTTTTATGCAGCTTTTGGATTAGTGGCAACTTTTGTTTTGCTTTTACTCCATTATTTAGTTACCAAAGTTTTGTTTTAGTTTTGCTTTTGATATTAGTTTTTAATTAAGTTTTGAATTGTGAGTTTCTTTTAGAAATTTAGTTAGGCCCTGTTCTTTTGAGCTTTTGGGCAGAGTAGAGCAAGAATCAGCAGAGCAGAGCAAGAGTCAGCAGAGCAGAGCAGATTTCATTATTATTATAACAAAAACCTACAAAGTCAATCAATTTACAAGAAATTAGTGGGGAGCCGAGATACAATCTGGGCCCCCACCCCTCTAGTTATAGCGAACCCAATCCTGTTGAAGATGTAAGCAGCTGCACGAGCACCAATATCCTGAGTCCTAGCGAACGCCTGAACCCGCTTTATCAACGCAGCAGCATCCTTCTCTAATTCCCCCAATGAAGAAAAGGAGAAAGGAAGAAAACCATAGCCAATTGCCCTGCAACGCTCCCCATACTTGTCCCGCTTCCGCTGAGCCGCAGCCGACACAACACGACCAGGAACAAAGTCAGACAACCCAGATTAAGTCAAAGGAGAAGACCCCGTCAAGTCAACACATACATCAAGACCTCTATCCCAGGAATAAAGCAACACATATGCCGGTCGAAGAGCCCCATCGTTCCCTCCAGTCAACCCAACGTTAACCTCCTTCCTTGCAGAAATCCCAGAGCGGAAACAAATATCAATAAGGGTATCACGAACAACGTTGTGCCGATGTTTAATACCCACCATCCCAGCACAAGACACTGCATGATCCCCATAAATATCCCCATCAAAAACCCTAGAGCAAGCAGAACACGGAGTCAAAACGGAGAACAAGGGAACACTCAACTGGTAGCAAAGAACACAACGGTAAGTTTTACTATTTATAGTCTGACCCAAACCTGATATTGGAACCACTCGCAACCAGGTAGAAGTGTGATCCCCCTGCTGGGACTTCAATAAGGCAACCTGACGCTGGGATAAGGAGAAAGTGGATTCTACAGATGCCGTGACCTTCGTGAAATATATATCTGCCAATTTCTTCATGAGTTTGGGGGTAGCGATCTCTCTAGGGTTACGCATAAGGTCAGTCTCCACAGTCCTATTAAAAAGACTAAGAGCACCATCAAAGGCCGGTTCGGGACCAACAACACCAGAATTGCGAAGAAGCGTAGCCTGAAGACCAGAAGACTGCAAACACGACGCAAGGAAAGCATAGTGCCGAACATCACCCGCTGAATAGACACCCAATCCACCATAAGAAAAAGGTAAGGTGGCAAGTCGCCATTGCCAATCACCAAAACCTGGCCCCGAGGCAGTGACAATGCGCTCCAAAGAAGCTCGAAGGGCCACATCAAAAGAAATCTGGGCCGCTTCAAAAAGGCGAGGAGGACAAGTGCGCATAGAAAAGTAGAGTTTTGAAACCCCAGTACACGCACGAAGTAGTAACAACTCACATTGGGGATCATCAAGCTTAGCAACAACATCCATTAGCACAATGGTCTTCGACACTCTCTGTGAAACAAGCTCAACACAGAAAAAGGAATCCGCACTAACAGGACCACCAAGCAACTTAACACCATGTACAGGACAAGCAAGATCTGGAGGAAAGACACCGACCAGACGGCTATGTGGGTCCTCCGTGGGCCAGAAAACTTCCGTTTTCTCAACGTTTACATAGAGGCCGAGACGAGTTCCCTCCACCAAAATGAACTCCATAACCTTTCCTACCCCCAAGGTGTCACCAATAATAGTGCCGTCATCCAAATACCAAGCCTGCAAACATAAGTTGAATGAATCCCTGATACGGTACACCAACGGATGCAGCACCAAAGCAAAAAGCAAAGGGCCAAGAGGATCACCTTGCTGCACTCCTTGACATAACCTTAAGGTATGCTCCCCATAAAATAGTCTGGCTGGAGAAGAGTAACAGAATTCAACCCAATGCGAGAGAGCTAGACAACGGAGACGGACCCCACGTTGTAAAGCCGTACGATCAACCAAATTAAAGGCATTATGAAAATCCACTAGCAACATAGAGAGTCCAACATCACCACCACGAGCCACAACCAAACGATTAACAGCATGAAGAATAGCCTCACCACCCGCCGGCACACCAACACCAAACTGAAGACCTCCTAACTATCTTCCCAGACGTGGACCAATTAAAGCAGCTCCAACCTTTGAAACCAGACGCCTCCAAACGGTACCCATAGCAATAGGCCGAATACCACCACCAGGCTTAACAAGTGGCATGAGACAAGCACTAGCAATGTATTCTCCCAACTTAGCAAGACATTTCCTAGCGAGAAAGAGATTAACCACCTGCGCAATAAAATCTACCAACCCATCCGAAATAGCAACTGCAGCACCACTCAAGCAATCCATAAGGTGTTGAGCACGTAAGGCGTCCTTACCGCGTGACGTACCAAGCGGAAAACCCTTCATCTGATCCAAAACAACAACAGGTGTAGCAATAAGAGGCTGATCAACGGGGATATCCGATAAGATAGGATCCGAAAAGGAATAGTGCTTAGCTTGTAAATCAGCAAGAGTAGCATCATTGTAAGGGGCAAGACCAGAAAACGAAAGAACCCTAACCGCAGCAGTGTAAAGTCCGTCACAAATCTTTCTCTTACATTGCTTAATATTACGCTCAGACAAATCATGCTCATCATCAGCATCCAACAAAGGAGGAGACACATCAGCCAACGTATCCCGCACAAGATGCATAGAACCACCAGGCTCACACCAAGAACGAATAGCAGCGGTGATACTCTCTTCCTGCCGCTGCCGCCTGACACCCGAAGAACACTCACAACTACTCCTCGGTGAAAAGGTTTTAAGAACACAGAGAGGCAACACAAGCAGTTGAACCCAACAAGAGACGTCATCAGGCTTGCAAATCACCTTATCAAGCGCTCCCTTGAGAACCCGAGAAAACCCCAAACGACACTTAGGAGGAATATATTTAACCGAACAGAACCGCTTAGATAGCAACCTATCCAGAAGAGCAACATCGAACGCCAAAAGAGGCTGACAAGGCACACTAGGAACAAGATCAGATACCTCCGAAGAAGGATCCTGCAGTTTAGGAAAACCATAAAGAACAAACCGAACAACACCA